AGCTGACTGGACTGGGACCTCAACTGCATCTATGCTCTTGATAATCTTAACTAGAAGATAAGTGGAAGTGCAGAGCATTTTAGACTCTAGCCACATAATGCTGATTTGCTTAACCTGATCTGGCCCATGATCAGCTTGGCCTTGTTCATAAACAGCTGAATTTCTCCAGCCTGGAGTTGATTCTGAAAGCACCGTGGTCACACTGATGTGGTTAACAGTTTCTCAGCTTGTGTGCCCTAGTGGCTTTGAGCTGGGTGCCTGCCTGCAGAGTTAGCTCCACCGGATTTGTGTGCCTGCTGACCTGGGAAAGTGGATAAAATGCAGATAGAGAATTGAATTGATAATTTCTAATAAATAAATAAATGAATGCATATTTTTGTAATGGGCTTGTCTCACCAGATGTTGTTAACTTACATAAATTATTTGCGGTGACACTTGAAAAGGAGAGGGGTAAAAGTGGGTAAAAAAACCCACCAAGATTCTGCTTCACGGTAGAAAACTCTTTTATTGAAAAAAGAGATGTTCTGATCAGTTGGTGGATTTTTTAAGATTTAGTAATGGGGCTCTTTTGTTCTAAAGAATTAGTTTGTAAAAATAGGGAGTTTTGGGTGGAATGTGTTTAATGAGGTTATTTAGTAAACTGTGTCATTTCCTCATCATTTGTGGTTGTTGTTTTTTTTCTGCTCTGTTTCTAGTGTCCTTTCTTGGAGTTCTGTGCAAGTGTCCTTTACAAAATGACTACCAAGAGGACTCTGGGGCTGCGTATCCTCTTCCAGCTGTGAAGGTTTCCATGGACTGGCTGAAACTTAGACCCAGCGTTTTCCAGGAGGCAGTGGTTGATGAAAGACGGTAGTGAGTGTTAATCTTTCTTTTGATACATTTGATTGCATAAAGTAATAAGAACTGATGATCTACAAATCATTAATAGGAAAAGTGAGCCAGGCTCTTCTCAGTGACAGCCAATGACAGGACAAGGGGCAATGCGTGCAAGCTGGAGCATAGGAGGCTCAACCTGAACATGAGGAAAAACTTCTTTACTGTGAGAGTGCGAGAGCATGGCCCAGGCTGCCCAGAGAGGTTGTGGAGTCTCCTTCTCTGCAGACATTCAAAACCCGCCTGGCCGTGTTCCTGTGTGACCTGGTCTGGTGATCCTGCTCTGGCAGGGGTTGGACTGGGGGAGCTTTCAAGGTCCCTTCCAACTCCTAACATTCTGTGATTCTGTGGAAAGTGATCTTACAACTCATTATTACAGACATCAAAATGATAGAGAATATATGTGTTTACAAGTCCATAAAACAAAACATGAGACTTGCTATAATATAGTAATAAATACATAATTTATATTCCTTTCTAAATGTCAGTTGTCCTTACTCTATTGTTATAATTTTCTTGTGGATAATTAATCTTACCCCAAAGTGAACAAGCAGCTGAAATAAGAAGGAAACACGTTTACCTAGAAAAGTAACTTAATCTGAAGGCAAGATCTGAAGACAGAAATGCCTGTATCAATACTAGTGTGTGCTCTTTGGAAATGAGGCTTCCAAACCTGCCCTGTGGAAGCCACATTAGGTCTAGATTTTTACATTATTATTTCAAGTGTTATACAGGAAAATTGCAATTTACTGTAGGTTGCAACAGACCTGCATCTCCTTTTTCTCCTCCTTTTGTTCCTTGTCAGTCATGGGAAGGAGCTATTGCTTAGTTTAGTGCACAGAATAAGCACAAACATAACGTTTCCAGTCCCTGTGGTGATGCAGGAAAGCAGCTGACCTCAAGACTTTCAGGTACATGTTGTGTTCTCCAGTCCAGGTGCTGGATGATGACTGAAAACCTTGCTGAAGAAGGACAGATTCATTTCACTAACGCTGAGCACAGTGGGCACCTTCCTAAAATAGTCTTCTGTTGCCTGCATGGACTTAGTGCCCATCACTAAAGCAGAAGAAGGATGCTTAGACTTTTTGGGTCGGAGCTTTTAAAAAGAAAATAGGAGAAAGCAGCCTGTTGGTGGCAGTTAAATGTTAACCGCCTATGGAGCGATGGTAGTGAGTTTTAAATATTACCTCCGTGGCTTTTTCTGTTGCTTGTACTGGTATTGCCAGTGCAAGGCAGGGAGGCTGCTAGTTAACCTCTAGCTTAAGGGTCTCACTCAGTGCAACCCTTACTTAGACCACCTTACCTTTCTGGTGACTGTTTCAGTGCTGCAGCACAGTGGTAATGTACACAGAACAGAAGTACTTCTGCACAGCTGTATCTCTAACTTGTTTTGCTTCCTAACTGATTAATTTACCTTGCTTTGAGCGCAGTCGGCTTTGGACTGGAAAACATAAATTGCAAAGAAGTGCTTTGAACTTTTGCTCATGCAATAGGTTTGTCTAGTTAAATTCATAGTAGGCTTTCTGACTTGCTGGATAATGAATGCTGTGCTGTGAGAGTGTGGCTTCCTTGGTCACTTTATACTGACTTTTAAAAAAAATTGTAAGTTCTTCAAGAAAGTGATCTTTTCCCTGACACTTGGGAGAAATTTTAACTTTTCTTAGGAATGAAAGGATTAATGGAAGCTGTGACAGTAACACAGTTCAATGTTTTCTTAGTAAGGTGGCTAGATTCCATGTTTCGTTGTTTTCACTTATAGTTTGTCTGTTTTCTGGTTTGTAGTATATGGCCTTGGCTGATTTCTCTCCTAAACAGCTTCCAGCCTCATGAAGATGATCTATCCAGTAATAATGGTAAGGATTCTTTTAGTCTATGCTGTAAAGAACTGGGAACAATTCTTGATTTTCCTGGTGTTGTGGGGAAGTTGCAGTTGAAGAGCAAATAAGGAAGCAAGTTGTCTCCTAGTATTAGTGCATATGAATACTTTTCAAAAGCTGCTTTCTAGTGCCAAGCAGACTTTGCTCTGCTTTATAATTCCTGAGCTCCTCACATTGCATCCTCACATTGCAGGGTGAACCAGTACAAATGAGCAAGTTAATAAAATGCTTTACTATGTATAGAGACCTCGCTGAGTTATCGACTTACAATACTATACTCAATGCGTTCATGCTTTCCTTATGCTGTTTACTGTCTGTTCACCAGCAACCCCCCTTCCAGAAGAATTTGAGTTGCAAGGATTCTTGGCTCTGAGGCCCTCATTCAGGTTGGTGACAGCTAAAGAAAACTGTACTCTTGCTGATGTCACTACTTTGATAGATGTTGACCTGTTCCCCACAATATCTTATATATGAGTACTTATACGGACTGCTGTAGGTATCTTTGCAAAAAAGCCTGTAATAGACAATGTAGTAAAACTCTTGGGGAAAGTCATGGCTTTTCACTCATGATTTTTTTTTGTTTTTCTTAGGTAGTTCTCAGACGAGTAAATTGAAAGGGAAAAATTTAAGAAGTGAGGAAAGGAAATACTTCTACATGAAAGCTACTTGATGTGTTTTTACTTTGCTGGTTTTTTACTTTCTTTGTAACTGTGTCCCTGTGTCATGCACAAATGCTGACTAAATATTAGATGTATTCAGTCAAATATTATTTTTGATTATCACATAGATGAGCTTTTGGCCTTTTGTTTTTTTAAAAAAACAAAACCCACCAGACCTCTTTATTGTCGAAGTATCTTAGCAGAAGAGAATTGCATCTCTAAATTAGACATCTCTAACTCTTGTGTTTTGAAAAGGATCTGGTGAAATTTCACAGCTTATAATAGAGTAATGCTGACCATTTGTATTTCTAAAGAAATACAGTGTTGCAGAGGGTAATCGTGTCATTAATACTATTCCCTCTCCTATGTCAATCCTAGGAACTTGGATTTTTCCAAAGGCCACCAGGCAATTACAGGAGATAAGGAAGGGCAACAACGTCGAATTCGGCAACAGCGTCTGATCTTCACAGGCAAATGGATTGCTGATAACCAGCCGAGGTAATTGCAAGTAGCATCTGTGTTTCAGTTGCTGCTGTAAGCTTAGGTAATGCGGGTGCCAGAGCTGAGCTTTGTTTTGCACTATTTGACGCAGCAATTAGGTATATTAACGCAAGATGCTGACAGCGCTGATAGCCTGTTCTGTGGCTCAGCATGCCATTGCTTCGTAGACTAATGATGGGAATAGGGACTAATAGGGAATGTATTTATAGTAGTGTTGTCTGAGTCCTTTTAGTGATACTGCAGCACAGCTAAGTGAAAACAGTATTTGAAGTGGTAGCAAGAGTGTTAATGTGAGCTTTTGTCATGGTAGAGAATGCCCTTAGCTGAGAGATGAGTTGTAACTTCTTCTTGTTGCTGGGGTGAAAAGATGTGTGGTGAATGTGCTGACTTTCTGCTTTTATAATTTGGTGAAGTGGGTTACCCTGTGGAAAACTATTCCTATTTGCTTTTCAATTCCTTTCTGTCTTTTTCAGGTTGATTCAGTGTGAAAATGAGGTAGGAAAGCTGTTGTTTTTGACGGAAATCCCGGAATTATTACTAGAGGACCCTAGTGAAGCCAAAGAGAGTCTCACCTTGCAGGAAACATCCATTGCAGAGCCACTATCTACAGATGGGAGCCCTGGACTCAAATCAGTTCTGTCCTCTGGCAGAAGCCTAAACAACAACTGTGATGCAGGAGAAAAACCAATGGTCACGTTCAAAGAGAACATCAAGCCACGGGAGATGAACAGAGAGCCAGGGCGAATCTATCCCCCTAAAGATATAGGTAGGAAGGGAAAGACGGGACTTTAGCAAAGGAATAGTAGCCAATAAGAATGATGGGAAGAAAGATAACAATAAAAGAAAGAATGAGATCAAGAAATGCGGCTTGGATAAGATGCAGGAAGCAGGAAAGCAGAACGTGGCGGTTCAGGTAAGCCTCTAGATCAAAGGGATACTGCATCTTAGGCAGTACAATGTTTGTGTCAGGGCCATCGCTGCTTGTAGAGAGTACAGTAGAGTTGAGGTCTTGCTGTGGGCCCTGCAGGTACAGCTAATGCACACACACAAAATAAACACATCTGTCTCAAAGACCAGGTACTATCTTTGGGTCTCTGCTTGTTTCTTTGATGCTATCTCAGTTTGTTGGGGAGGTAAAGGTAGGAAGCAATGAAAGGTGATTTTGCTATGTTAACTGTCCTATAAAACAGACTTCTGTTCCACAAATTATTCAGGCCACCAAAGCAGTTAACATGACCAGATCTGAGTCATGCTCTTACGCATGCTATGATCTGTTGTGAAGGAGCTGGGTACTCTGCGTTTTTGGTTCAGTTTGCTTGTGCACATTCAGTAAATTAAACACATCACAAAAACACTCAGTTGTTTATGTGCCATCAGATCCTCCATACTGTGCATGCAGTCAGGTGGCCCTCTGTGGAAGTAAGGAAGGCCCCACTGCACTTAAGTCTGTGCTCAGTTGCTTGCTCAGAATTGTTGGTTTTCATATCAGCTGCTCTTTTCTCAGTCATATTTTTGAGAGGCATGCTTTTTTCACCTATTTCTGTGAACATTATGTACAAAAAGGCTCACCTCCTAAGTAGACATTGAACTTACTGGTCTGGCTTCCATTGAGTTGCAGAAAATAAGGGTGTAGAGTGTCAGGGTTGATCTGATCTACACCTGGGTAGTTTGGCTGCATCTGTCATTCCCTGGTGATGTCTGGAGGCATTTAATGATAGTGATGGAGACTCTATTATTTCCCTAGAAAAACTGTGTCAGTTCTTCACCATTCTTGCAAGTGGAAATTATTCCTTAATGCATTTCATCTCCCTTCCCTCTGTGTAAGCTTATTACTACTTCCCAGGACAGGTCTGCAGAGTAACTTCAGTTTTCCTCTTTGGGACTACTCTGAAGGCCTGTGTAATTGAGGTCTTGTTTTCCTGAGGCTAGACAAACCAGCTCTTTCTCTCTTTCCAGCTTGTGGTGTTAGGACCCATGGTTCACTCTCTGTTCTCCTGATTATTTGTCGTTAAACATCATCGTTATTAAATGGAAGGTCTGAACTGGCAGCGTTGTTCAGTTGGATTTGCAAGGGGTCCTACCCAGGTGGGCAAAGGGGAGTAGCCTACAGAAACCGTGTGGCAATCGTTTGTGAGTCACCAAACAACATTCTGGTATCTGAAAACCAACATAAGTGAGTTAGAATAGCAGGTTTCTCACTCATCTGTTGAACACGTCTGGAGTGTGGTTGCAGGCCTGAGCACAACTCCCCATTTCAGTATTTGTATCCCTGTCTTGCAAAATAAGGACTTGAGGCAGATTAAAACCCACCAGATCTGAGAAGTATGTGTATTTTTTTGGATAGAGAAGATCTTTTAATTTTAAGCCAGCTGATTTATCAGAAAATTGCTTGGCTTAGTTTTAAGAGAGAACCCAGGAAAAACTTATTTCAAACCCAGCTGTAGTGGAATCTGTTCTGATGTGGTTGGTCACTCTTCATTTCTTGTTGAATAGAAATTAGTTTTTACTAATTCAATAACAGTTCTATCAGCTGTATTTGTTATGGCAACTATTCCAATGAAATGCCCTTTGTTTTATGTAGTTCGGTGGATTTATTTATCCAGACCTACTCCAGAATATGGGAAAGGTTTGCTTCCCCCCACTGATGATAAACCAGTGTAGGTTTTGTACCAGTTGGTGGTCTGTTAGTGCTCTGCTTTGGCCTTCCTGGTGATTTCAGGCTTTATTTCCTCCATAGTTTATTGCCTTCGGAAGCCTAAATGCTATGAGTGTTACAGCTCCTACTTAGAAAAAATATTAAGAATGTTATACAAAAATAGTCCTGTTTCACAGATAAGTGGAGAACTTGCACTCTCAGGCAGGATCGTGAACGTCTGACATAGGCTGAATCTCTGCTGTCCAGGGAAAATAAAACTAGATGCCGAGGAAGGTTTAATGCAGACTTACTCAAGGTGTAACATACTCTTAAGAGCTCACTATGATGAAATGGTCCTTCTCTCAAGCACCTTGTAGAAACCCTCAGGACCATTGTGCGAGTAAGTATTTGGTAGTATTGTCACTTTTGAGGTGAGGTTCAGTAGAACCAGAGAAGCAACTGAATTTTGTCTGTCTTTATTAATCAATTTTAGTTACTTAGCTTTTAAAAGTTGACTATAAATCATGCAGGGGTCTTCTGGAAGCCACCTTTGGAAATGTGTTATAGCAGCTTTGAGCTTATGATGGACTAGAGCACATGTTTTGAAAGGAAGAGTGGCTTCGAATTCTCCAACATTGCTATAAAAGAATGCATTGCTCTCTGTAAGGGCTATAAAAACGTTTGGCTCATTGTGGAGAAAAAAGGGACAGCACACTATAAATTGTATATACAGAATGTGATGAAGGGCGAAGGTGGGCAGTGAGTAAACGCGACATGAGCAGGGGCTGCATCATTCATGGTGCTTAGCATCAGCCAGAACCTTGAGGTGGAGTTCCTTCCTGACTTTTTCTAGTGGAAGATCAAAAATACACCCAAACTTCCCAGTCTGACAATATGCTTTTTAAATTAAATGCAAAAAATAAACTAAAGTCCCATAATTTCTAAACGGGGAAACTCAGAATTATTTGAAAAAGAACTTAAGAAAGCATTTGGATGCATCTACTCCCTTACCACTATATTTTCGCAGGAAAGACCTGCCCTCTAACTGCCGTTAACTCAGCAACACTAAACGTTGAAATAAACCCCACACAGTTTTGGTTTGTTTGGTTTTGATTATTATTATTTTTTTTTAATTTGGTCCCCGATAAATCCCCTTTCTTTCAGTCACCTTTGAGGCTTGGCATCAGGTCTGCTCCTGGGCCCTTTCTGTATTGCCCGGGTTCCTTGCTTGCTGTCTTTTTCCTGCCTGCTCCATCTTGCATTCCAGGCAGTTCTGCTGAGCTGAACAGAAAGGGAAAGTAGTCTTCCCCTCTGTCTTCCTCTCCAGGAAGACCCAGACTGCAGCAGACTCAGAATCAGGTAAACATTACATTACATTCTTCTCTCTGCCTTTAACTGGTGCAGCTCTTTTTAACAGAACATACAGCAGTTACACAGTAAACTGAAAGAAGTTAAACACTTCTGCTATTTGTCTTGTATGCTCTGGGTCGAAAGAATTTAATAGTATGCAGGTGTTTGTGCATATATGTCACTGTACAGATTAGGCTGAAAGGGTTCCCTAGGATGTATGTTGTAGCATTTGTTTTTTTAGGGGCAGCAGGTAAGTAGTATGAGTTAGGTTGAAGCAGTGCCCTAGGAGAAGCATAATAGCATTGGCACTTTTTGTTTTGGTTTTTAAGGCACTGCAGGTGAGCAGCATGGTCAGTTCTGTGTACGGTCTGAGGATATTATGGCCTCTTCCCCCTGTCTCGCTAGAGAAGGAGCCTGTCGCAGTCATCTGGGTAGATATCCTTAGCGTGTTTTTGTGAGGGAAGGAGTGCCTGAGGTCAGTGCGGAAAGAACTGGGTTCCTGTGTTCCAAACCTCTCTGTTACTTAGGGAAAAGAAAATCTCAGACAATCTGGCTTGAGACGTGCTGTTGGTAATTAGAGGAAAAGTTATCTAATTTCTTCTTTCTTTTGCATTAGGTGAAATCCCAGATGGAGATGAGGAAGACTCCGGTGTCTGAAGCCAGGAAAACACCTGTAACTCAGACTCCAAGTCAGGCCAGCAGTTCCCAGTTCATCCCGATTCATCACCCAGGCGCCTTCCCTCCACTTCCTAGTCGGCCAGGTAACTTGTGTTGTTGTTGTGAAGTGTGATTTACTGTTGACTGCAAAGCAAATCCTTTAATAGTGGTTGTTACAGTCTCTGAAGGTAGGAGCTGTTTTAGTGAACGTGCATTCTCATGTTGAGAATCTTATAAAGTAGTAGAGAAGGGATATAGCAGAACTGAAATGAGATAAATAAGATTCCTTGTGCGGTGGAATCAAGGTCTGTCGTGAAGCCTGCCACCTTCCTCTGCTAGTGGGTGTGAGATCAAGGAACTTCACCGTAGACTGAATCCCACTGCTTTCTTCCTTAAAGCTCATTTTCTTTTGTAGTGGTGCTCATGTTTCAAGCTGTAATTTCTGTAGTCTTACTGGCTGTTGTTGCTGTATTGCATGGTCCCATTTTGTTGTGGAGTGTTCCTGTCATACCTTGCTGTCCATGTTTGCTCACAAAATAGCTGGAAGCTGTATCTTCCCTGCAGCTGTTATGTGTAATTGCACAATATAGGAGAGGAGGACGTTTTCCCTGTCCCAAAGTCAGCATAAAATCTGGCGTGTGAGATACAGAATTAAAACTTGCCTTCCAAACCTGGCTTTTCAGTGCGAACTATAGGAAAGAAACTGATCTTGTGGATATGAGGATTTGTTTGCTTACCATCTGTCTCTACCTAAATTGATCCAGAGATCCTCTGGGAGGAGACAGTAGACTTATTGATTGCTTCAGTCCATTGCTCCGGAAGTTTAGTCCCTGAAAATGCATGTGTTTGGGGGAGCAGGGGGGAACTTTGGGGTTAAACCATCAAAAACACCAGAGTGATTAAAATAAAAAAAGGTAGTGGGGGAAAAAAAAGTAGGGAGGTTGAGATGTGTCGAGGGGGAAACATGACTATTCCAGATACTGCCCTGGCTGACTGTTAAGTGTCTGGAATATTGCAAGAAAACTCGAGGACAAACTCTGAATTCCCCTGTGATCACAGCCATGTTTGTGCAAAGGTGAGAAGGGACATTGTGGTGCATGCGTGCAAATTGTACTTGGTGTTTCCTGTCCTTGTGGTCTAAATGAGCAAAATCGGAATTAAAAAAACCAAACAACCAAAGTCCCACACTAAATGTTTTCTTGAGGGAGCTACCTGGTCTGCCAAATTGTGATTAAAGGTGCACTTTTATCTTTTCCAGGGTTTCCACCTCCAACCTATGTTGTCCCCCCTCCTGTGGCTTTCTCCATGAGCACAGGGTACACCTTCCCAGGTGGTGTTTCTGTCCCAGGAACCTTCCTCCAGCCCACAGCTCACTCGCCTGCAGGAAACCAGGTGCAAGGTGGGAAACAGTCCCACATTCCTTACAGCCAGCAACGGCCCTCCGGACCAGGGCCAATGACCCAGGGACCTCAGCAAACGCCACCTCCTTCCCAGCAACCCCTCTCATCTTTACCAGCTCAGGCAACAGCACAGTCCGCAAGCCAGTTACAGGTCCAAGCTCTGGCCCAGCAACAGCAGCAGCAGTCCCCTACAAAAGCTGTGCAGGGCCTGGGGAAGAGCCCGCCACACCACTCTGGATTCCAGCAGGTAAATTTGACTAATGCAATGTGCTAAGCTTCATTTAAAAATAAATGGCCACGTTCAAGACTTACGTTCCTGGATTACCTTTTCAAAACAGTCATTAATGACCTTAGTGTAGAATTTTGATCTGTGAACTTACAGGCAGATTTGAAAAAGAGCTGAAGTTTAGTGGGTACAAACTGGGTATTCTGTAACTGAGAGGAAGGTCTACTGGAATGAGAAGGTGGTTCTCTGTTTTCTCAGTGTTTCAGTTTATAGACAAGGTATGAAGGTGGTATTTCTGATCAGGTATTTCTGTCTTAAACCTTTCTGGTTTTCTTGTGTGAGTAATGAGGAATGAATCCGAACCTTCACCTGCACTCTCCTTTTGGCTAACTGGGTTGCAGAGTCAGTTCCCTCACAGCTCTTGGTTTTATGTTCCTGTTGTGCTGGAGAAAAATCTCCCTTCTGGCGTGTCTGGACTTGATGGTGAGACCCTCCTGGTGTTCTGGGCAGTGAAATGCTGGCTTAGCGTCTTAGCAAAGGCATTTGTAAGGTACTGGGTTAGAGTAAAGATTATACTTGGCTGTTGACATAAAGCTTGACTGGGGAGCATTAGATGCCTATCCAGACTCTGTTTTGGTGGATACCATAGCAAATCAGCATGTTGGTGGAATGTCTGTCACAAGTGAGCCAGACAGCCGGTTTGAATGGAGTTAGGCATTCAGTTATCGTTAATTGTTCCCACCCGCTGCTGAAATCACGTGTCTCTGCCTCAGTATCCACAGACAGACTCATCAAAGCAGCTCTGGAACCCACCTCAAGTCCAAGGCTCTCTGGGGAAGATCATGCCTGTAAAGCAGCCCTATTACCTGCAGGCCCAGGACCCTCTAAAATTATTTGAACAGTCATTACAGCCTCCCGTGATGCAACAGCAACCTCTGGAGAAAAAAATGAAGCCTTTCCCAATGGAGCCATATAACCAGAACCCCTCAGAAGTCAAGGTGCCAGAATATTACTGGGACTCTTCCTATGGCATGGCTGACAATAGGGTGATAGCACAGCAGTCTAACATGGACCGTAGGGGAAAACGGCAAGGAGTCTTCCGCCCAGAGCAGGATGCTGTCTCCAGGATGACCTTTGAGGTAAAGATCCCTGCTATAAATGGTGAAATCCAATGAGGTACTGATATTCCTGACAACTCTAGGAGTTTCCCTATTTCAGAAATGCCCTGTAGCCCCAAGTAGGTCAATATGAGCTTATTTAGTAGGGAGCTGAGTATCAGTAAATGGGATTCCAGCATACAGTGATGAATTCTTCATTTTAGTTGACTGTGTGTGGGATCCAGCTCTTGAAAATTTGGTTTAGATGTGACATGGATCTCTGCACTGTGTCCGTCAGGTTGAGCAACTTGGCAGCTGATAGTTTTGGGGAAAGTTCTTGTGTGGCAACTGATGAAAACCATAAAAGCTATCCAAATAATTGCAATTGAATTATTACCCTTTAGATGAACTCTTAACACTTGTATAATATCTTGTATGTTGAATGGCTGAGGCTGCAATAGGCAGATTGAGGCTGGAAGTCAAGGACAGTAAGAGCAGTCTTGTGTTGGGTTAATTTTTGTTTTGTTTTGTTTTGGTTTTTTTGTTTTTTTTTTGCTGCAAACCCCACCATGCAGTGAGAGAGCTGAATGACTTCCTTAGCTCTTGGCTGCACTAACGGAATGCTTTGCTTCTGTTCATACAGTTGTGCTTCGTGCTTCTGTTTATAAAACCCGCAATCTTTGTTATTTATGAACAGTCCTGGAGCTGTCTGAGTGCTTTTGGTGATGTTTATAAGGAAACTTAAACAGAGGTCTGTTCAAACCTCTGTAAATGCGCTCAGGATTTTCAGAAGGGCAGCTGAGATCACTTGTTTTATCCTTCAGAGAGAAAAGCCAGACAATATACAGGAGCCTGCCTCTTCCCTGATGTCAGGCTGTGGTTTTTAGATGGAGATGGGGTCACAGCCTTGTTCTCATCCGTAAAAGGGAAACCTTGAGTTCGTGCAAGCACAGTGCAGGATGGACAGAAGCTGTGCCAGTGATACTTGTGTTTTAAGCATCCCTCACAAAAATCAAGATGTCAAGTTTGGTCAGCACTTTGCAGGGTTTTTTGACCCAGTGGACTGGGCAGCTGTATGTTGGCATAGCAGTTGTTAGCAGCGGAAATAAATCTTGGGATTTAAACTCCACAAATACAGGAGTGAAGAAGATGCAAACGTAATTCTACTTGAAACCTAAATTACTCACAGGTCAGGTATAGAAGAATAATTGTAAGATTTCATGTTCCTGGTCCTCGAATGTGAAAACCGGTTCAGTATTTAGCATGGATGCAATGGGAAGCACGTGCTCTGCTAATTAAAACTAGCTGTCTGTCATTTTGATCGTGCGGTGCTCATTCCAGTACGCATTAGGCCATGTTTTCTGCTCAGCGTTTTCTCTGTCTACCTCAACACACTTCTGCTGCACTGTTTCCTTACCTTGCACTTCTGCATGCTGCCTTCTGCCTTTCTCTGCCTGTTTTCTCTCCTTCTGCTGTGGCTTAGCCTCTCCTTGCTGTCCCTTGCTGTTCCCCTTTCTGCCTTCTGTTGTCTCACTGTGCTCATTTCTGTCACTAGGACCCCAAGAGCTCCCCTCTGCTTCCTCCGGACCTGTTAAAGAGTCTGGCTGCCTTGGAGGAGGAGGAAGAGCTGATTTTCTCTAATCCTCCTGATCTTTACCCAGCTCTGCTGGGGCCTCTCGCCTCTCTTCCTGGACGAAGCCTCTTTGTATGTATTTGATGTAATACTGCTGCTTCTCACTCTTAACTGGCATCTCTTTCTTCTGTGAAGTTATAAGAAATGTGGAATTCCTTTCTCTCCCCCATCCCTCCTGTCTACTTTCGTGCCTCACCCTTGAGCCAGTCTTCATGCAAGAGCTCAGACCAGCTGAAGGTCCATGGTTATAGCTCTGGGGCTGAATCCAGGCCTGCTAATTTGGTCAGAAATCAGAAAAACAGTAGGTTTTTATTTTTGTAATTATAGTTCACAGGAGAGATGTTGATGCGTCATTTAATGCACTCACACTTTATGCAGCTATATGGGCTTAGTAATAAGGGTAAAGGGGAGCACAGATTCAGCTGTAGGAAGTCATGAGAACAAGCATGGCTTATTATAATCTGCATGTAAAAATTCCATAATGGCAGGGGGAAGCTGCCCTACAAAGTGCAGAAGAGATTGTAAAAGAGCAAGGAAGGAAATGGTAAGCAATTGGCTAAATATCTATAGAGATAGTCATTTTTGACAGACTGAGATTTTTTTTTTTTTCTGTGCTTATGTATTAAAACCTTCGTAGTTCACTGGGTGGAGGGTCTTGGAGCTGCTGCATTTGTAAATTGCCTCTGAAAATGCAGTACGCCTTTCTAGTATGGCTACAAGCGTGTTCATTAAATACTACTATTTCGGATTAGTAGCAGTAACAAAGAAGAGTTATTTGTGACTCTACCCAGAATCTCTGATTAAGCCTGTTCCTCAGTTACTTTGCATGCCATCCCAAGGAGGCAGTAGCAAAATAGACACCTGTTTCTGTCTTGTTAGATACCTTTGCTATGAAACTAATAGCTGTTTCTTCAGCAGCTTCCTTTGAAGCTCATACCGTTGCTGTCTGCTGGCAAATGGAAGGAAATTCTTCTCTCTGCATGCTGTGTGGATATGCAGTGTGTGAATTTTGTCTGCCTTTTAAAATGTGCTTTCAAAGTAATGTGTTGTCACGTTGAAAATCTAACAAGCTAGGAGCTGCTTGCCAAGGAAATGAGGCTATTTGTCTTAGGTTTGCAGGATAAAAGCAAAGATATTCCAGATACTGAGACCATGTTAAAGAGAGAGGGATGCTAGTTCATGTTTCTGTTGTTTGCACAATAAATTTAAAAACATCTGACGTGCTGAGCTGGTAGGAGTGCAGGAGGGCTTTTATTTGGAACAAGACTGCAGCTTTCAGTTTGGATTGCACACAATTTTAGTTACGGCTTCACTAATTCTGTGGCTTAGTGACGCTAAATTTGGGTGGTATTCATTGTCCACCAGCTGAGCTTTGATTTTTCATTGGCTTTTGTATTGATGATAACTGATCTTACTTCTTCCCTAAATAGACTTGTTTCAGAGACACTGATTTTTTTGTTGCTTAATCTTAGTAAGAACCAAAGAGAAAGCTGAGAAATAGCAGCTGTATGAGAGGGGACAGCGTAGATGGTGGAAGAGGTCATGGTCCATAATATTTTAACATGGAACCCCAAGGGGGTTTTGGAACCTCTGCTAAACACTAGGGTTTTGTTTTTTTTTTCCTTCCTCTCTGCAATCATTTATAGTGAAAATAAGAGTTGGACTGTTTAACACAATTAACAAATCACAGCACTTGGCTGCTTTTCCTGTCTAAGAATGTCTATACAGCAGGCATGCTCTCAAAACAGAAAAATATTCTGTCAATAGCAACATACATTGGTCTGATCATGTTTAAAGGAGTCCTCTGATCACTGGGAAGGATGCTGTCTCATTTGTACGAGGTTTTATGCCACCAAACGGGGCTTTTGGCAGGAATCTCCCCTCTAGATGTATCAGATAGGGTATTACACTTACAATTTAAACAGCTGTTCTGGCAATCAGCTGTCATGATTGTTGATTTTTTTAGATATTAATTACAGTTAGTAGGGAAACTACTGATTTCCTGCATGTATTTGTTCGCTTCCCCTGTCCTCCAAGGTGCTGGAGCTAAAATACAAGCAAGGTTTTATATGTGACCAAAACCACCTTGGCAGTTTCTGATAGCATACTTTCCTGCTGCTCACTACTAATTGCTCTTTTTTCCGTTTTTGGTTTCTGAAGAAGTCTCTGCTGGAAAAACCATCAGAATTGATGTCGCAGTCGTCATCCTTCCTGTCCCTCAGTGGCTTTTCCCTTAATCAGGTAAGTGAGGACCGGAGTCTGCAGCCTTTTGCCGTTTCAGCTTGCCATGAAACCAGGTAACATGGCAGAAATATGGGGATATCTTTGGGTCAAGCCAATGGAGAACCTCAAAGAAATCCATATGGCTGTCTAATTTCAGTCTGTATCAGCAAGATTCTTTGCCTTTATCCCAAATTCATCCTAGCTATTGTTCGGCAGATGTACTGTTGAATCTTGCTGAGTTTATGGGCCCCTTGCTCTTAGTAGAATTGTGGAGTTGACTGAAAACGTGCATCTCAAAGTGTTATGGTGTGGAGGTTTTTATTTCCTGAGCAATGGATTACCTGTTCCCTTCTGGAGAACTGAGCGAGGTCTTGACGCAATTTTTGTGAGTACTGGAAATTTAAAGATTTTTTTGAAGGCTTTGCAGTTCAGCCAGCAGAATTCTGTCCTGATTCAGAATGTGATGGACTTCATGTTAAATAAAATGTGTTTGAAATAATACATAAACTTTTTTTTTTTTAGGAAAGATATCCAAATAACAGCATGTTTAATGAGGTATATGGGAAAAATATGAATACCAGCACAAAAACAGAAGTCACCCCTTCAGTTGCCCATCAGGAGACTTCACTGTATTCTCTCTTTGAAGGAACTCCGTGGTCTCCATCCCTTCCAGCCAACTCAGGTAATCCTGCTATGCTTTTTCCTGTGTCTAGTGATTTAAGAGGATTTGAATTAATTTTGAAGCTACTGCAAGTTAAGTGTAGTTGGAAGTTAAAAAAAATCTGCTTGACAAGGTGTCTGAAGGTTTCTCTTTATTTTTCTTTATATATCCTCAGAAATATGAGGGGATTCTGTAACTAATATAGCATAAGAACCTGTATTTTAATTGAATTAGTTGAACAGGATAAAAGTTGTAGGAGGTGTTAAATCCCAAAATCTCTTTAACTTGAATTCCTGGCAAGCATTTGAGAGTAAGGCTTCAACTCAAACATCTGGGTACTTGCAATGCTGCTTCTTTGGAAAAAGCAGGAAGAACTGGATTTCATAATGTAGATATTTGAAAGAAAGAAGCTATATGACTGAAGAATGTGGAGAAAAATATTACAAGTATTTGTTTTTTTTTTTCTTTGGGGGGGATGGGGAGAGGTTTGTGTTTGTTTTTTTTTACTGTTAAGCAGCCTACAAAACAAATCTTTTTCCTTAGTAATTACCTTAAAGGCATAAAATGTTGTAACTATTATGTCATGATTTTATTCTCACTAAAAATCCAGAAGGGTGTGAGGGGAGGAATTAGTTGAATCTAAGAAATGAGTGGATTTTAAATAACATCTGCACTGGGTGAGGTTTTTGGTTGCACTGAGGCTTTTGCATCCAACCAGGAATAACCATTGTGGGTGAAATGGAAGGAGTTGCAAAGTGCTATTATTCTAGCAGGATTTATGGCTCACATGGTTTCGGCTTTCTCTCTCTTCACCAATTTGTTCAAGACTACATAGTCTCTTGCCACCCTGCTATGCTGTGTTGGCTCCAGGCATCAATCTCTTCTGCCTGCAGATAGGCTTTTCCATGCTTGCTCTCCTCTTCTGGGGGAGAGTATTGGGTTCTGGTCTGAATTGCCTTAAGACTCATAGAAGAGTAAAACATTCACAGACTTTGGAGTTTGAGTTGTAAACTTGCATCAAGGTCTGTTGTATTTTATTATTGTTATTGATTTGTCAAACTTGGAGACAGATTTTATTATTTTAAGTTTGAGAAAAGTTCTTCAAGAAACATGAGGAAGACTCGCTTTGGCTAACCAGCCCTCCTGAGGTTTCCTGTTATGTTGTTTTTCTGCATGTGTATGCATTAAACAGAGTCCTTTTGTTCTTGTGTATGCACAAACATTTTTCACTCAGAACTTAGGAATTTGTATTACACTTGTGTAATAGAGGAAATAAAAACTGACCTTCAGCATTGGAGAAAACCTCATGATGGCAGAATTTGCAGCAGCGTTAAAAAATTCAAAATTGGGAGGTTCCTGCTGTTTCTGTTGACCTTTTTCCTCTTGCCTTGTAATCACTAGATCATTCGACACCAGCCAGCCAGTCTCCTCACTCCTCCAACCCCAGCAGCTTGCCAAGCTCCCCTCCAACCCATAACCACAATTCTGTTCCCTTCTCCAACTTCGGACCTATTGGGACTCCAGACAACAGAGACAGGAGAGTCGCAGACCGCTGGAAAACAGATAAGCCAGGCAGGTGCTGGATTCCAGGCTTGCATGAAGCCAGCTGATGGTGGTGGTTTTGCAGTGGGTTTTCCTACGTTCCTTTGAACTTGTCTTTCTCCCATTTTAGCAATGGGAGGGTTTGGTCTGGACTACCTCCCAGCAACATCATCGTCTTCGGAGAGCAGCTGGCACCAGTCCAGTGCTCCTAGTGGCACCTGGGCAGCCCAAGGCCCTCCCGCAATGGAGGACTCCTCAGCTGTGCTTATGGAGAGCTTGAAGGTATGGTTGACTGAAACTGTGCTCAGGAATGGGTGCTTGTCTGTGGGGCTGGAAGATCCAGTGATGGGCATTAGCCTGTTGCAAGCATCAGAGTTCAGCATCAGAAACCAAAGGTTTTTCCTGCAGATCCACTTACGCAGGCAGTGTGGGAGGTGTGACCAGTGCTGAAAGATGTCAGAGTTTTCCAGATCTTGCTGTTCTAGAATATTTTGCAGAACAAGACCACAGAACTGGCATAAATTATAACATTTGCTTTGACTAGTTTAAAATTAGTAATAGTTAATGTGGGATGAATTTTTATGGTAACGAGGATTCTGGAGGAGGATAAGCTTCTTCCAGGGAGCCTCCCTTCAAAAGGCCTTCTTGGAAGTCTGGATAACTTTCACGATAAGCCAGGTATGAGTGAGTGATAAAGAGGGAGAATATAGAAGGCTGTCTATGCTTTCTTCTCTGTTAGAGGGGAGCTGTCTAACCGAGGAGATGCTAGCGTTGGTTCTTTGTTTTTAGTCCATCTGGTCCAGTTCCATGATGCACCCAGGACCCTCAGCCCTGGAGCAGCTGTTAATGCAGCAGAAGCAGAAGCAGCAGCGTGGACAAGGCACCATGAACCCGCCGCATTGAGACCGAGGTGGCAACCCTTGCAAACGAAGGCTCCATAAACCATGGCATGTTGGGTTTGCAGGACTGGCCCACACAGTCCTGTGCAGGTGGCAGCCCTCTCTTCTGTTCCTTGCTGTCAGGAGGGCGTAAGTGCTCCACCAACCCACTGAGTGTGCACAAAACGTCTGCAGTGCAAGAAAACAACATCAGGAACTCTCCCATCCCTGGGCCCTTTGGAGGGAGAGAGGAACTGCTGTTTGTCTCACTCAGTGACCCGATATCACCGCCTCTCACCTTCTCCATCGTGCATGTCCCCAGACACATGGGAAGTAAAAGCTGAGAATGAAGGGCAGATGGGAGAAGCCAATGAGAACTTCTCAATCCTTTTCCTCTCTCTGGGGAGACACAATAGGAATCCATTAATGATTGCTTTGCTGACTGAGAATGTAGTTGAAATTACTCCTAAACATCTTTATTATTCAGATCTCAGTAGTAAGATCACACTGAATTCTTCCGTACACAGACGTGCTTCGTAGTCAGTGTGTAGCAATGAAAGCCCCAGTTGCTGCTCTGGTCAGAGGTGGTTGGCGAGGTAGGACTCTATCTCCTGTGCTAGTGAAGGAGTTTCATGAAGGAGAGCTGGCACTTGACACCACTTCACCTTTCAGCCCAAGGCTTTGGCCAGCCAATGGTTGGGTTAGAGACTCCAGCATGAAATGCCCTCCTCTCAGTAGGTGTCTGAGCTATAATGGGTGGTGCAGGGCACTGCAGCACTCTGCTGGACAAGCAAGTTAACTGCTATGGGGTTTTAAATTAATGTTTGATTCCTGTACATTTTACTGTAGCATAGTGGCTAGCCCCAAAACGGGCAGGCTAGTCTGTGCATTCACAGCCTGACTCATTTTAATAGGTAGGTAGAAAGCTTTCAATGGTTTTTGTTCTTCTTTTTCTTTCTCTCTCCATCCTCCCATCTTCGCTGGACACTAGTAGTTTCATTATCAATGTGCAACATCTCGCAGAAAATAATCAGGGGTCCAGCAGGGCTGGGTAAAGCCAACAGTCGGCCTGAGCAGTGTGGAGTGTCTCTTCTGCAGGCGCATGTCAGCTCTGCAGAAACCCATCCTCCCGTGCCCCCTGCCCCCAGCTGCAGCCCCGAGCTTTCAGAACTTCAAGGCACCCGTGGACACGTGTGTGACCCACGCGCGGAAGAAAGCATAGCGCTGTTCATTGATGAAAAGATGCAGAAGGGAAAAGGAAAATGTTTTATTTGCTATTTATTGGACGGAAGAAAGGCTGGAAGCTTCATTAAGGAAAAGGACAGCATTTTTGTTAGGTTTCCCAGGGAAGTTACGGAAACAATCTCAATGTCCGTTTGCTGTGTTTAGCAGTAGGGGTTTGTGTGATGATTCAGGATCTCTGATCTGGAAATCAGCTGCAGAGCAAAGCACATGCAGGAGCTGAAGTGACACTGGAGTCTGGGCAGCCCCAAAGAATATAAAAAGGGAAGACGGAGGAGACACGATACCCCTCCGAGGGTATGAGCAGCTCCCCCACGATCTCCACCTTAGCAACATCACTGTTCTTTGTTGCATTTTGAAGATGTATTTCCTTTAAAATGTTCAAAAAGTGAAGTTCCCACCCAGCGATAATATGAACCAAACCCCTCTGTACTTCTCTCCAGCCCTCCCAGTTTGTGTATCGAGCTGTGCACCCAGGCAGCTGCGACATTCCAGTGTTTGAACCGTCACTGACTCTTGCACCCTAGACAAGCTAACCAGGTTCGCCATCTCACTCCCGGCAGTGCCAGGGTCCCAGCCGCACCGTTCCACTTGTGCATGAGCATCCGGCCTCAGAAATGCGTCCGACTCTTGGCTGGGACTCCCCTTCCGCCCTCCAGTGCCCAGAGGTGCAAGGGAAGGGGCCCCCAACAGAAACTGGTTTGTGTTGTAAGCTTTTTTTGTGTTTTTTGTCTGTCTGTGCAAGAACTGCAGCTGCTGAAATCAGCTTTGCCTTTAATTAAACCATGTTCTCTTCATCCAGGTCTGTGTGTTGCATTTATTTCCTGTGTAACTCAGCTGAAGGCTTTTAAAAGCACGTTATTCTTCTGGAAGAGTCAGAAAGAAAGCTTGAGGTTGGTTTTTTTGTGGTTTGGTTTTGTTTTGTTTTTTCCTATTTGAAAGAGAACTAAATAAATAGCTGAGATTCTGGCTTGGGCTTAGTGCCGATAATTGGGTTATGGTTTTGTGTGGCCTGTGTGCAACGTGTTTTGCAGACCAAACTGAAAAAAGCTGCTCTTCAGTTGCAGATAGAACATGGTAGAGCATAGGTGGTGGCAGCTGGAGGACATGGATCCTTCTGCCACTGACCTGTCTGTGTATCAGGTTGTTGGCTTTTATATAGGGGACAACTTTGCTGCTGAGATTCCAGGCAATGTCTAAGTTACTATCTTTTTTGACAGCTGAGAAAAAGCTTTTGAGATCTGGCTCCCAAAAGTGAAAAATGTGTGTATTTTTATTGGTGGGAGGTTTTAAAGTGAATTGTCAATTGGAGCAGAGCAAGGCTGTACATTCTCTTGTTTCAGCTCTTGGGTTTGGCAGTAATATTGCAAGGAAGTAAATGCTGTTGAAGTTCATCCTTTCCTGGTCTGCAGCTCCCTGAATTCTCTGGTGGCAGGGCTGTAAGTGCAAGTGGCACCACCCTCTTGTGCGTTTGCCCAGCTGCTGGTTTGTTTAGAAGCTTTCCTAAGGATAGGGCGGGTGGGACAGAGCTGTTGCTAGCAAGTCTCTTGCCAGGCGTGTTAGGACTGGATGTATTCCTGACAAGAAGACAAGTAGCAACTTTTTAATCAGTACCTGTTTTGGAGAACAATGCAAAAAGTAGAATAAAAATAAAGTTTTTAATACAAGTAGCAATAATATTTTAAGTGTATTTTCAAATGCAATGATTAATTTGGGAACTTCTTAATTACAACAGTTGAATTCTGAATTTCTTTCCATGTCCATGACTTTAAAGTTTTCTGAGATCACATGTCGGGGTCTTTAGCGTTAGACTTAAGAACAAAAGCAGATGGGAAGATGCCGATCTTCCCATTGCACTGGCCTTCTAACCAGTCTTCATTCACTGGAAGATAAAATTGACACAATTTTTGTCACTCTAGGGATGTACAGTTGATCAGTAAAGTTAAACACAGCTCAAGTGAAACTCCCATGTTGAAACCGTTTGAGGAATGGGGTGGCGGAAACAGGGATGTGATGAAAATGTGGTGGAGGAAGTATGTGTAACACTGTGGCTTGGGTGGGAAGCCCATGGTAGAGCTGGGAGAGCTCTGCCCACGCTATAGCACAAGGCAGTTGTGGTGGAAGAACACTTGTACAAAGCAGTCTTGCAGACTTTGGGTCCTGCTTATCTTGGAGCTCCACACAATTGGCTGTTGAGCTGGAAACCCTGGCTGTCATCAGGAGCATGCAAAGCAGAGGCTGGAAACACCTCAGCAGGATGGATTTTTGTTGTTCTTGTTCATGAGGCTGGAGCAAATTTACCCCATGAATATGGAAACTATAAGCTTCGTGACACAGCCCTTAGCGATGCAAAGGAAAGCAACTGTCCTTAGGTTGTCCTTCCCCTGGCTTCCACCTGCTGCTACATGCTCATGCCATCTCTGCAAGCTTCTTTTCTAACCTGACTTGTAAAGTGCATTCAGTGTAAGCTTTCTCAGAGTGCCCTGTGGCAGAAATTGGAGCAGCCTGTTTCCCATTCAAAGGTGGCAAACTGCAGTTTGCAGGAGAAGTTTGCCATTGGTGAAGGCTGCCTGAGCCAGGCTGTTGCTCTGTGGATCCCCAGTGTGAAACAGTTTGCTTTGGAAGACAGGAGGGTTTGGGGTAAGATATCAAAGTGCCCAGTGAAGCTTGTAGGCGCCACTGAAGAACATGCATCCAGTGTCTGACCAAATACCCCAGAGATTTTGGCCTGCCTTGCAGATGTTAGGAGCCCACAATGTTGCAGAAGGAGCACAATTACCTTTGGATAAAACAAGTATCACATCTCCTGCCTGAAACTCCAGATCTTCAGGTTGGATGGCTTCGTAATTGTATTGCGCTACAACTTGGGCTGGTCTCGTCTGCTCCGGCACTGCCTCCTGTGGCAACTCCTCTGGTTTGCTGTCCAGTAAAAACCCCTCTCCCTAGGGCAGGAAATCAGCTGGTAAGAACTACTTTTGACTTCTCCTTTTTCTTTGTACAAGGGTAAGAGGGACAAGCTCTGCTTCTCCACCTCTCCTGCTCTTTTCTACTCTCTGCCTCTCAAGAGGTCACTGGCTCACTTTGAAAGCCACAACCCTGTGCTCACGGTAAGGAAAGCAAAAGCAACATCTGCTTATGTTCCTTGCCAGCATAAGAGGTGGCTGCCACCACTAGCTGTCACTGACCTCCGTGATGTCGCACCAGACTGTCAGGCAGTAGTCCTTGCTCTGGCTCCACGCCGCCTCCAGGTTCTCTGCACTCAGAGTCACCAGCGCTTGGCTCTTTGCAGGCTTGTACCTGTGTGTGCAGAGGATGCAGGGTAAGGGTGGGAGCCCTGAAAGCGCAGCTCCAGCTCCCTGCAGCGGGCAGTGCCTCACCTCAGCTGGGCATGCTCAGGCTGGAGCTCCAGTTTCTTGCAAACCAGGGCCAGGAGCTCTGTGTAGGAGAGGCTTGGCTCGACTTGCAGGGCGACTGTGTATTTGTAGTGCACCTTGAGGATGTGGGGCCTGAAGACAGCCACTTTGGCCTCCTGCGGGTGGTAAACTGGAAGTCAGCTTGTGTGGCTCGGTGAGAGCAGGAAGAGGGACTGGGACATGGAAACTACATCTGAGCTGTGGGGCATTGGCTGGCTGCTGGTCAGGGAGACATCTCCGCTGGGGTGTGCAGCCTTTGGTAGGTACCTCAGGGCAAGTCAGCGGTCAGGCCACCCAAGCTATGGTTGGATGTGTGGCTGGTGACAGCTCCGGGCTTGTCCCAGGACAGAGCACAGTAATAAAGGAGACACTTAACAACCAAACCGTGGCCTGTGAGTGACTTTAATTTGAGGTGTGTCTACCCTCCAACCTCCTCAGTTTTTTTGTTTGAGTTGGGGTTGTTGTATTTTCCTATCTCTTTCCCTAGTGTGACCTTCTGATGTGCTGACCCTGCCCAGGAGTGTGTGCATTACAGCCAAACTCCTGTTTCTCCCTTCTCAAGTGCTGCAGGTCAACCAAGGTGAGGCTTGTACAAGGGCTGTGCTGACAGCCCTGGGTTCACTGGGGAGTGGACCTGGAAGAGAACTCTCAAAAAGCAACCCTAGTCACCTGGTTGAGTCCTGATGACCTGCTGGCCCCTAGCCCTGTTGTTGCTTTGGAGAAGCTCCCAAAAACCTGAAACACTTCCCAGGCCGCGGTGCAGATTGGTGACACCAACAGGACCTTGAGGTCTACATTCACATATTCGCAAGATGTTACCTTTGCTGCATCTCTCGGCTGTGTCGCAGTAGAAGGAGCATAGCCTATGAAGGAAGAAGGAGGTGGCTCAGTGTGTGGGATGGGGTAAATATTGCTGCTCTGTGCCTAAATACACATTGATATCTCCTGCAGCCCTTCTCCTCAACACCCATTGTTATCTGCAACAGCACTAACCAGCTAACTGCCTGCAGCCAGCAGTGGTCCCTTGAATGGACACAGCATCAGCCGCGATGGGGTTCATCTGTAAGATTTAGATACAACCACTGAGCAGAGGTTTGTGGTCTGTGCCTTTCCTCTTATAAGGATGGGAGCTTTAGGAGTAGGGTGTCTTTCCTGGGTGGATTTGGAAAAAAAAACAAACAGAAACCATTAAAAAGTGAGCTGCTGGTTTTCTAGTCTTTGCTCTCCTGATCTGCTGAGGCTCACACTGAAAAGCAGAGGCAATCCCCGTCCTTCACTCAGTTTCTAAAGCTAAATTCAGACCTCCAGGTAGGGTAATTTCATGCAGGTTTGTTGCTTTTCACAAGGATCTGCTGTATGTTTTGTCAGTGCTTTGACATGACTTGTGCTCGTCGTGTTAGTACCTGTGCAGTATGGTCTCTGCACTGTGATATTTTCTACCCTAAATGGGTTTTCCTGCAGTGGTGTGGAGCTCGCAGCTCAGCTGCAGGCTCCTACCTCTGAGCACCACATGATGTTTTCTAGAGAGGGCAACTCGCAGTGCTTTTTCCCAGCTCTTCATGGATGTGGGTGGCAGAGCCCTGTTGCAGCTTCCCAGCATCCTGGACCAACTGTGCTGGAGGCGATGTGGTGGCCCTGGGGCTACCGTCTCTGCCCATGCTTGGGACATATGGGACACTGGGTAGCAGCAGCCAGGAATCCCCTTTCCAGGGTAACCACAGCTCCTTCAAACCCAGCCCAGCTCACAGCAGCACTGAAACCATCACAAGTGCCCAGCTCTCAGGAGAAGTCTGTAAGGAACCTTCTATTCCAAAACATGGACAAGCTGGGTCACTTGTCCTGATCCTATCCCCAGGCCCTTTTTCCCATTAGTTGCTGTGCTAATTAGGAGCATGGAGGGACTTACTTTCCTTGGGGACACACATGCTCTATTTTACTCTGTCCTCAGCACTGCAGTTGCTGTCTCTGCCTCCTGCTTTAATGTCTCCCCATCCTTAACTGCATATGGGTCCAGGAATGAGATGAAGATGAGCCCTAGCCCTGGTCTCAAAGCATGGGGGGACAGCACTGAGGAAACCATCTCAAACCTGCTGCTGGGGGGTTCACCCCTAAGGTACCCCCTTCCTTCCAGCTCCCTCTCACTGACCTGGTGCTGGTCGCCGTGGCTTCTCTGGAGCAGTAGAGCTGGGTGGCTCTGGGATCTCGGTTTCCAGAAGAGTTTCTTCTTGTGTTGTCTGGGAAGAGGGTAATGCTGTCAATCCCATCCTTCTGAAGGGAGTTGGGGTGCTGCTGCCTTGTGGAGCCCCCCCCCTACAACCCACTATTTTACCAGGGTCTGTCTGGGGTCTTGAACTGGGGAAGGGTGACTTTGCTACCCGTTTTCTCCCCAGCATTGCCAACCACCACCACCCAGAGGGTCATCGATGCAGCATCTGCCCAGATTTTGCAGGCCTCCGAGCTCACGCTAAGGTGACTGAGCCAGAAGAACCTAACCCCAGCATTATGCGGGGGAGGGAGTTGCAGGTATGGGTCCTGCTGGAAGGCCCAGAATAGGTGGTGAGTGAATGTGTGGGGATCTGCCCTCCCCAGGATAAGATCTGTTCCTGAGCCTCCTCACCTGGATATGTAGCTTGTTCTGGAGCTCCACAGGCTCGAGGAAGTTGCAGGGGACAATTCCTTTCTGTGAGGGAAGGAGAGACAAGTGGGGATTCCTTGGCAAGGAAGCAACCCATTGCTGGAGGATGCAGCTGAGCTTGTTCTTGCCCTGCCCTGAATCCAGGAGAGTCTCTGAGGCTTGAAGGTTAGTTGCTGCGAGTTGGTTGGGTTTCACTAAACCCTGTGGCCTGAGCCAGGGTGGATACAAGGGACCCGAGTCAGAAACTCATTTAGTTGCTGATGGCAAGGCTTTGCTCTCCAGGTCCTCTGCAGATCCTCACAGCATCCACCCCATCTTCTGCCCCCTCCTGCCAAGTGTGCCCCTGGTACCTTTCCATTGAACATCACTGTAGCCCAGTTGTCCTTCTCTTTCTTCAGGACAAAGACAATGTTTCCTGGCAGGACCTGCAGCTCCTCAGCGGTCTCGGGGATGAACTCGTACAGGACACGGTGTGGCTGCCCTTTGAGGGCCCTGGGTGTGGGAGCAGTGGATGGGTCAGGAAGGTGGGCGACATCCTCGTTTTACTTTGTAGGTGAAACCCAGATCTCTGCCTCCTTGTTTCTACAATCGATTCCTCATCCCCCCTGAGTTTTGGGTGCTGGCTTGCACGCTCAGCTGCAATGGCACAGGATGGGGTTGGACCTGGCTGCATGGGTTAGTAGCGTTGTCCATCCTTCATCCAACTCACCTGAGGATTTCTGGTGTCTTGGGCCTAGGTGGAGGACCAGAGGCCTGCCAACAAGACAAAAATAAAATTATCAGTAATCTGGAGGATTTTGGATGCTTTGCAGAAATATCCTGCTTTTCCACTCAAACTTAGACAGATGAATCCTAATCTATCTTACGAGGAGCATCTAAGACCACTCCCTGCTGAAAGTTGTCATGCCGCAGCAATGGCAAGGGCAGAGGATGTGCTGCCAGGCCACTGCTTCCCCATTCAGGGAACCAGTTTGACCTCAACCGTGGGTGTAGGTAGGTTGAGGTCAAATGGAGATGATGAAGAGAGCAGCTGAGATGTGGGGGCAGCATCCACCTCCTCCCTGCACAGTAGCAGAAAGTTCACAGTGGCAATGCTGCCGTTTTCACCCTGTCATCAGCTGGAGCCCTCAGCAAGCTGTGGGATGATACCCATCCCCATGTCCTCCTGAACTTTTGCCAAGGATGCTGTTCACCAGTCATGCCTTACCTGTGGTTGGAGTGGAGCAAATCCTGAAAAATCATCCTTGTCCACCACAGATGCCACCACCTAGAGCCGAAGACAGACAGGTAGTGACTTGGTGCTTGTAGGCCTCTCTTAGACCTCTGATATCTACCATCCTCCTTTGCTGTTGGCCAAGCGAAGTTCCTCAGGATGCTTCAGGTTCAAGAAGGGCTGTGATTTTAGGCTAAGTATCTTTGACTACTGGCTGAGTGCTTCTGGCACCACAGCTCACCGCTCAGCTGCAGCAAGGTCTCTTAGCCTCACCATTACTGCAGTTAGACTCATATCCTTAGTTTCCCTTCTTATTTTAATCACAAATATTGAAGGGAGTCTAAAGAGTCCAACTCAAGCCCTGACCTCCTTTAGGCAATTTTAGACATTGTTTAGGAAGTTCATTAATACTTGTGTGCACATTTCTGGGGATCCCATGACACCTGAGAAGCTGTCTGGCTCTCAGTTATCTGATTCTCCAGTGCCTGCACAGCTGATGGGTTGCTTTCTGGCAGAGCGCTCCCTCCCAGGACCTGAGCCCAAAGGTGATATCCCAGAGCTTGGGTTTTACAGAGTCATGGGAGAAAAGCTGGCTTGCTTATCTGAGCTGAAAATCCCCTTTCAGATAGAGGAGGGGGAGAACTGGAGGTCATTTGTGGGTGTCAGATTTTAAATAGCTTCTTTTTCCCACCCTGAAAAAATCTTGGTTTGATTTGAAGCTGCAGTGGGACCTTTCCAGCTCGATGCTGACTGACTGTCCCTCATGTCTCACTAAGGAGAGAAACTGAAAGTAGGCCATGCTCTGCAGAAACACGCTTTTAGCTCTGTTCCTGCAGACTCCATGTTCCCCACCAGACCCCTACATGCTGTCCCTCGCTCCACACCTGGGGCGGTCACCGAGGTGTGGGCCAGCTCCAAATCGCTGGCTGCCCAGCAGACAGCAGTTCAGAGGGGTGGTGATCAGGCGTTCTTCTCAACCCACAGGTTTAGCCTGAATAAATAAGGTATTTCTTTCTTACCATAGCTTTTCCCAGGTAGTCCTTCTTCTCCAGCTGAGCCACTTGCTTTTCGTTTGGTCTAAACAGCTTCCCTGCGGGAATGGCCACCAGCTCGCAGATCTTCTGCTTCTGTAGCACAGAGGAGTCATAGTGCTCTTCAGAGGTGAGAGCAGGGTCTGCTTCATGTTCCCTTCCTTCTACCTCTGGGGTTAAGGTCTTGCTTGATAAAGTCAAGCCACCACCGTGACAGTGGACACGGTCCATTCAACCTGATCTTCCTATCCCTGTCTCCTCAGTGACCCAAAACTCTTCCCACCAACTGCAGTACTACACCTCCATTTTTGCACAGCCCACTATGTTTCTCTCCTGCTCTGCTAAAGCCATATCTAAAAGGTGGTTTCTGTGTTGCTGGGATTTTCTTCTTCCTCCCCCTTGAGCTGCCACACTGCGACTCGAAGACCTGTTCCCCCTCACCAGGGTGGCTTCCATTGCCTTGTCGATCTTGTTGTGTTGAGGCTCGCTCTTCATGCTCATGGCCAGAGTCAGGTGCTCCTCAGCTTTCTTCCAGTCCTCCATCGTGGCATACACCAGCGCAATGTTGTAGAGTACCTGCCAGAGGGATGGGAGCAAGGAAATTAGCTCTTGGAGCAGCTAGACCTTTGCCAGGAATGTGGTGAAGGAGAGGACAGCGGGGTGGTGGCACCACACAGAGCACTGGGCAAGCTTGCCTACTGTTTTGCAAGGCACAAAGAGAGCTTGGCTGTGTTCTCCTTAGATTTCTTGAGCTGGTGAACAGACCTTGGGGATCAAAACTGCTGGTCAAGTCTTTCTCACCTCACAAGCAAAGAGCCTGTACCGCAAGCCCAGGATCTTGTAGTCGATGAGCTGGTTGCCTCGCAGCTGGGCCAGTGCTTCTTTGAAATCCTCAATGGCCTTTTCATGGCTGTGGAGCAGAGGACACAGGTGTGTCGCCACCTTGTGGTGGCAATCTGCCTGCCTCTAAGTCTTAAACTTGTGTGAGTTTAGTTGGGTCTCTCCTATCTCCTTGCAGTGTTTTCAGACACCCCAGAGGGACGAGACATGCTCCCAGTCTGGTGTTAATCCCAAGACTCCACTGCTGATGAACAGGAGCCTATTTTAACTCAAGGGGTTGCAGTTTGGCCCCTGGGGTACCAACCTGCCTGGGGCCATCCTCAGCCAAAGGCTGTCATCTCCACAAGTGGCAAAACTGAAATGTGAAAGCCCTTCACTCACTTCTGCCTCCGATAAGACACGGTCCCACGCTGGAAATAAGCCACTGCCAGGTGCTTGTCGCAGCTGATGCTCCGGGTGAATGCCTGCATGGAGGTAGGAGTGGGGCAAAAACGGGGTGAGAAGGGAAGACCTTGTTAAAACAGGCTGTAGGCAGTTGTATCTGTCCTGCTTTAGCCAAGGGGACTAAGGTGCACTCTGTGGGCTGCGTCTCTCTACGGTGTGGGCACTGGGTGGTGAAGCCTGTACCAAGCTCCTAATTTTTTTGGAGCTGGAGCCATCAGCTACTGCTCGCTCAGCAGCTTAGTGCCCTGTGGTCACTTCTGGCAGGGAGAAAGTGCGAGTAGCAAACCGTGCACCTCTTCTGCTGCTTTGCCTCTGATTCAGTAAGAAAACAGACTCAGTAGGAACAGCCCAGGGATGTCACAAAAGGCCCAAATCCTTCCCTTCCTCAGACCATGGCCCTTAGATTTTCCCTTCCCCACCGTGTCCGTCTGTCTGGAAGGTCTGTGTGCAAATGGGTCCCTGCATGGTAGCGACTGTTAGGGGCTGTACCTTACCTCCTCCGCCTCGGCCAGCTTCCCCAGAATGAGATGGATGGAGCCGATGTTAAAGCAGATTTTGGCAGGGGGGTTCTGGACGGCTGTGAAGGCCTCCAGGGCTGCCCTCCACTCCTTCCTGTCTGCTGCGCACACCCCTTCTTGCCACAGCCGGATTGTCTCCACCAAGGACATGGCACGGTGGGAGTGGGATGTGGGGCCCCTAGCCTTGTTGTGAGTCTTGCCTCTCTCCTCGTCCGCTGCTCGGCCTCTCTCTAGCTCCCTTCTGCCTGTACTTCTGCCTTCCCCACTGCCCGTGTCGCAAACCTGGCAGGAAGTGGCCTCACTCACGTCAGTGAAATGCAGCCCCGAGATGGGGAAGTGGGGCAGAGGCTGCTCCACCACAGCAGGTTTCGACACTGAGCTGGGTTGCATGCCAGGTCCTCTCCAGCAGCCACTCCTCGCCTCTTCAGGTTTTCCTTCTCTGGCTTTTTTCATGAAAAGCTGTGGATTTCGTCAGCTGAGTGGTAGATCAGGTCAAAGTTAAGTTTGCAAGCCCACAGGGTGGGCTCTGCAGCCAAGACCCTTGTGCCCCCTGACGTGTAGTCCTTGATGGAGGTGGTGGCTACATGTTTCATGCATGGGAAACCTCTTGCCCTTTCTGTGCCCCAATGCATTAATGCCCCGATGAGGAGCTCCACTGCTTGGGGGCACTTTGAGGGGCAGCTACCATATTGAGCCCCAGCAGCAATGGTAACTCACACTCAGCCCTGCATCACTTCTGTTGAGGTGTTTTATAGCCAATGGCGTGTCCCTGGAGGGACAGGGGGATGCAAGAGCAGCAATGGCAGGGGTCCGACCTGCTGACTCAAGGTCTGGAGCTGGGTGCTCCACAAGTGGTTTCTAAGTTTTGGAAGCACTAGTCATAGTATTTTGTGAGAGCTTAAAATATGCCAGCAAGACTTGGCCCTTGTGCACTTACACTTCCCCAGCAGATTACCTAATGTCAACCATGAGAGGGAGACTATGGAGGCTTTTGTTTGACATCTGCTCCGGAAGAAACCTAAGATGCTGAAGAGCAAGGACTTGGTTTTCAGTCGAAACTAGGACTGAGCACACCCCTGAACCTTGGGCTCTCTTTTGTTGTCCAGTTGTAAGCATGCCCTTGGCATCCCTTTGCACCCAGCTGGCTCCTGTGGTTTTCCTATAGGAGCGCAGAGACTCTGACCTCCAGAAAAGCCAAGGTGGTGCTGAAGGAGAGGAGTGGGAATAACAACACAGTGAGCATGAAAACACTCCTCTGAGACGCCTTTTCTCATTCCTTTGAGGAATGGGAGACCCCATCTCATAGAAAATGGTTCTCCTTGTTGTCAGGATAATTTTCAGGTCGTTTAATTATCTGAATTGGCACACTGGTAGGGTCGGGTAGATCCCAAAACTGGTACAAGGGGAGTGGGAGGAGAATGCGAGATCACCCGTGATAAGTGTTGTTCAGTTTTTTTTCCTTGCATTTCATGGCAAGGTGGGACCTGAAAAATGCAAATGCTCAGAGCAGCTGTCCTTCTGCTTGGTTATTGTTAATGTAACATTCAAGCAATTTCAAAGCTGCAATAAGCACACGTCTTATAGTGAGTCTCTTGTTCCCCTTTCTCTCACCAAGTTGATTTAGTAGGAAAACTTGTTTCTTCTACAATAATGTCCAAGAGGAAGTGAGTAACAGGGATGGTGACGTCTGCCATGGGAGATTCTTGAAATCAGGCACAAACACAGATTTGCCCAGAAACAAGTAAGAAATATGTAGAAATTCCCAAAATCCAGCTAGGGTACAACAGTGGGTTTTGAGTTTGTTTAGCAACAATATGCACAAATTTATCATCATTTCCAGAGAAGAGACCCAAAAAAAGGACTGATCCGGGCACTAGAAAAACCTTGTAGGAGGCAAGATTGAGATGATTGATCTTGTTTAGGAGGAGATCTGTGGCGCAGGAGGAGTGGAGGAGACTGAGCATGTCCAGCTCCTGCCCTGGCAAGCAGATCTGAGATCAGCAGCACAGGACCTGATTTTTTTTTTTGGCTCAGTCCCTAACCGGAGCAGGGAGCGAGGCAGCAGCCCACGGGGAACTCTTTGGCCTCGGAGCGCAGGGCTCGGTGGGGGCTGCAGCTGCAGGCAACAGGACAGCAGTTTCTCTTGGCTGTTACAAAAGCAGGATGTGATGTATAAGATGCTGTTGCCACATGCTCCAGCCAAAGCCAAAGGCAGCAGTGGGAAGTTTAGGGAAGGAAATGTGTTTTGCAAAATGAAATAGTTTAGGACTTTTTCTTCCCTGGCTATCTTTCTGTTTTCCTTTTGGAAGCCTATTGTGCTGTATTACTTAAAGGATTGAAACACCCCTCTGCCTCAGCATGTGCAAACAGCTGCTCTGCTGGGGTAAGTGGGGCTTGGGACCAGGACCTGAGGGCGGCCTCCACCAGCCCCAGCTGCTGTGCGACAGCATCCAGATACACATTGTGTTCAGCACAGCTAGGGCTTGCTCCTCATTGTGGTATTTGTATGGTCCATGAATACAAGCAAAGCAGGATTTGGAGGAAAGGTGTCATTTTTGTTAAACTAGGTTTACTTTCTACCTTCCTGTCAGCTAACAGAAGAGACGCCTTCCTGCAAATCTTGCACTACTACCCTCCCCCTCGGTGCATGTCCTTTAGCACGTCCCTGGACACAGATGTAGAGATGTATACATTTTGTAAATGTTTCCAAATACATCATAGCCTAGCCTGAGGGGAATCTGGAGAACGTTATGATCGCAGCAATGCCACCTAGAGGTAGCTGAGCTGCTTCGGCATCAGTTGTTTTGGAAAATATTTTTACACTTATCTGGGATTATAGCTTTCTATTTTTTTTTTAATGAATATTGATTGGTGTCTTAACCTAATTTGGATGAATGGAAGGAAACAGAGATGACAAACGCTCCCTGGGAGAGCTGTAAGGATGGAGCCATTGCCGCACATGGCCAGGAGGGCGGCTTCTGTGTGTGTGGTTGAAACCTGGACGTTTTCTGTGGTCTCTGCAGCAAGGCCTGGTCTTCCACTTGGCATTTCCATTTGACACTTCCACTGTGCCTCCTGTTGTTGTGCTTATGGTCTGCTGAAGTTAAGCAAGAAAAAGGATCCTAGGACGGAAGGTAGGGAGGGCACCAAAGGGCTGGAGGGAAACCACACTGGGTCCTGTCTGCGTTGAGGCCCCCAAGGACATGGAGTGCTGTGACCCTGTCAGGGAGTGGGTGGTGGGGTGAGACGGGCTGGGTGACAGAGCTCTGCCACCCTGCTCAGGCAAAGCTGTGGCTGTGTGGGTCTCAGACTGTCCTGGGGAAATGGAGCAGGGAGGAGTGGGTTGGAAGAAAAAAAGGGTTATTACTGAAGCTGTTTTACTAATTCCTGAGTGACCGTGGTGCATTAGGAGTGCTTTGGTTTGAGCCACCTGAAGGCACTAACCCTGCTTTTCCAAGCAATGACTTGTGTAACAAACAGAAGATGTCCTTTAAATGGCACCACGAAGGGACTTATTACAAGGTTGTTTAGTGATAGGATGAGGTGTAATGACTTTAAAGAGGGTAGATTTAAACTAGGTATTAGGAAGAAAGTCTTTGCTGTGAGGCAGTGAGACACTGGCCCAGGTTGCCCAGGAAGCTGTGGATGCCCCCTCCCTGGCAGTGTTCAAGGCCAGTACTGGACGGGGCTTTGGGAGCCTGGTCTGGTGGGAGGTGTCCCTGCCCATGGCAGGGGTTGGACTGGAGGAGCTTTAAGGTCCCTCCCAACCCAAACCATGCTGTGATTCTGTATCAGACTGCTCAAAACACCAGGCTTCTGTACGCTCAGTTCCTTCAGAAATTCAAACCAAGCACATGTGCCGTTAGTGATGATGTAGGCACACACAGTCATGCCACCCACAGGACATGCCCAGCACTGTATCTGTGCTTAAATTATTAAGACAAAAGATTACATGTTTGATCCCTTGGAGCTGGGGCAGAGACACAAACAAAAGCCCAACTGTGAAATGGGGAGCTTTGCTCCACACAACCACCCTGCTAGGCCATTACCCTTTTCCTTCTTTTGTTCTTGAGAAAGCATCTAACATTGATGGTTTGATGATCTCACTCTCTGGCTATAATTTTAGCACAGGCAGAGACATCTCTAGTAGTCCTGCTTTGGAACATTGCTTCATTAAATATCTCACTGAAATAATCTCAGATTTTCTAGCTGGATGAAGCTGCACAGGTATTTCTGTTACATGTGGGTACAAATGATGGCTAGAAAGCTGCGGACCCAGAAAAATAATGGAGGGGAGAAGTTTTAGGGTTTGCTTTTTTTATTGTTGTCCATCCTGGAATAGCAGCCTGCTGAAACTTCAAGGCATTTCAGACACCAAGTAAATATTCAGTGACGATTTATTGTGTGGTCCTTATTATTATTACAAAAAAGCAGATATCAAAAACCAGCAAAGATTCCACAAGTTCCCCAACGGTTTTACACAACTGAACTGCAGTACAATAGAGAATGTAAAACACGTGTTATTTCAGTCCTGGCCCACCTTCTGTGGTCTGGGAAGCCCTGGGCTTTCCTAATTCTTTTTAAAGTACTTCTCTGTGCCGATTTGCCCACTAGCTAATACACTGTGGCCCAATACAACAGGAATGTGAACTGTCTGGTATCCTTTGAGACCCTATACATCTAGAAAACGCAATACAGGAGCTTTGCGAGGATAGCGTGGATACCAGTACGTATTTCTTAATTACCCCAGGCAGCCACTGCGTTGTGCTTGACAAAATCCAATCACTTTCAAGTTGCTGAAATATGATTACTTATATGAAAGATGGGTTTTTTTCTTCTCTTCAGGCTCTTTGCTCCTCAAAGAGTTCACTGGGCTGGGCTCCAGCGTAAATGGACCATCAACCTCTTAAATTCTACCATCCAAACTGCATGACGGACAACTTCACCTCGTGGTGACTCTCCTGCTGTGGACCTGGCGTTTGACTGATCACAAGGAACCAGAACAGCCTGTAAGATGTGAGATTAAGGAAAATACACAGCTCTCTGGAATGATAATCAGGGTTGAAGGGAGCATTTGCTTTCTGTACTATTCACGGCTGTAGGTTCAGAGGTTGACCAAAGGAAACATGGTCCAGTTACCTATATTAATAGCTGCCCCACTTTTCAAATACAGATCTTGCATCAAAACACTGCTCGGCTAGCAAAAAGAATTAAGACATTACCCTACGTCCCTCAGCATTTGCTTGGCAAGTTGCATCCAAATCTGCCATAATTATACACAAATGCAAATCATCCTAAAACATGAAGTTGTATACGTCACTATACGTGTCACTGAAATGTTTGCGAGTACCAAATACTCCTGTTAGAAATACAATTGCACCTTCATAATTTTCCAGAATTTAACCGAAGAAAGAGATCACGATATGCATTATTTGTCAGGTATGAAAGAAGCAGCAAGAAGGCAAGCTGAGAGACAGGTGCTGCCCACAGGGCAGCCATGGCATTTGGTTGGTTGGGTTTTGTACCAGCATTCCCCACGCCGCGGATGGCAGACAACCACTCGCCACTGGATTTAAACAGTTTTCCTGGCAGTCAAAACGCGGACAATGGATCCTACTCCTCCAGCAGCCAGGGCCTAGGAAGAGGAACAGCAATTAACACCAGGTTGAGGTAGCTACAGGATGAAACAACTGCAGATCAGGCGGCTTCCCAACCGTATTTCCTATGAGCATCTCCCCAGCCTTTACATTAAAAACAAAACACTTGCACTCAGGGCGCCAGGAAAGGATTATGGCATTGGCTTTGAAAACACCTGCTTAACAAGCTTTCCCTGTGTAACCAAACTGCAAACTTTGCTTCCCTCTAAGAAGGAAATTCTACTTCCACCTGCTTGAATCACTGGATTGAGCCATTTTGTTTGCCTCAGTCTAACACAAAATAAAATTTTAACTGTAGAAACTGTACCCAGGGAATCAGAAGCAGGAGGCACATGAGCTCGCAGGACCGCACCGCACCCTACTCACTCTGCAAAATTCGCCATTTCAGTTTTACCAGGAGGCTCTTGCCAGGCTCAGTGAGCATGCCTTGGACTCTAGAACCCGCTACCACGAATAAGCCAGGCCCTACCAACGCACCTTCTCGTGCCACTGCAGCAGCACAGCGCTGCTGTTATCAGAGGGGCTCTCAAAGCCCTTGTAGATGTACTTCATCAGCAGGTCGACACCGTTCTTGTCCAGCGACTGCACCGCCTTCTCGATATCGTTGGCTTTGAAGGAGATGAGGACCTTCAGGACTATGCTTTCTGCACGATCCTGTCAACAAATGAGGAAGGCAGAGATACATTTGTTCTCATAATAGGTATGCTGAAATATTATTGTTGAAATATTAATCTCTTCAGCAAACAAAACTATTTTTTTTAACAACTGGAAAATCTGAATAGGGCAGTTTGGGTACAAATCTTGTTATAAATTAACATATAACAGATAGGTCTGCCCAATGATAACAGCATAAAAGAGTTTAATGTGTTTGTCTTGCTCTAGTATTTATGGCTAAATTTTCATACTGAAACTCTCAAAGTCTGCCAAGTTCCAAAAGAATGATAAGAATTAAGTACTTGCCTCGTCTCCCTGGTCACCAGAGCCTTTTCCATGCCTTTGTACTGTTTAATGTGATACAATTATTATATTCCATGAAAATGGCATTAGGTAGCCTTGAAGAGGCAACTGCTGGAAGCCATGCATTTTAAAACCGTCAACTTCTGTCCTGGGCACATCAGATGCCCACTGACAGCATTAATATTGTGCATTAATAACCATTTGCAAGTTGATCTGGATGTTATTTCAACCCCAAGAATGTGTGTGGCATGATTACAGTGGCAATTAGTCATGTAATCAGCAAAAAGCAGCTCTTCCTGTTTGTCCATCGATAACTGAGGGAGGATGAAAGAAAAAGGTCTTGGGCTTGTTGGACTTTTGAATAATTCCATCATACAAATAATTCAGGCAAGTCAAGTCCCTCAGAAATTGTTAGTTCTCCTGTTCAATTTAATATCCCATAGCTGCTTGGCTTCGTGAGACCTCATATGAAGAGCTCTAAGTAAAAACATAAAAATTCCATGAGGTCAACAAAAAATGAAGCCAAAAATTAGGATTCAGTCACTGTGCCTGCTTCAATTCCACTGCCTTCACAGTGTATTCTTAAATCCATCAGTACGGATCTAATGGAAACAAGTCATTAATGTGAGCACAAAGCTGTTCAGTCTCTCATACAGCACCACCTGTAACAAACAGCTGGATCTCAAAATCCTGTGGAAGCCCTCAGGAAGTGACTGGGGCGAGGTGAAAAAGCAGCATGGAAATGTGCCTGTGGGACTCTCCTCAGGCAGGGAGAACAGACCTCTGCAGGCACTCACTGTCTGGGCAGTTCCACATCTTATCTCACTGCTGCACTCATGAGCCATTCAAGGTTTATTCTGGGGAGACTCAGAAATACATGCATGGGTGCACTTCTCCTGTATTCTGTCATAGGGGGAGTGCTTGCGTTAGCTGAGGTTTTAACAGCTTAATTTTGATTGGATGTGAGAACCATCAGTTCTTCCTTTTTTGTAGATTCACAGTCTGGCTGTGCTAGCAGAACTTCCTTAATCAGAGGTGACTACTGCAGCTGTGGTTCCCTGATGGTTCAGTGCTGACTACATTTATGTTCTGGATCAAGCACAGGCACCCACTGATGTGTGGAGTTAACCAGGGCAGGAAGGCAAACACACAAAACCTGACTTAGCTCCAAGTTAAGGGTATGTGGACAGATGACATGCCAGCTATGGTATTCTGAACAAGATTAAAACAGCAGAGGTCACAGATGTTTTGACATTGGGGAATATCCTAAAAACCAGCTTTCTTGGCTTCCTCAAACCACACCTCACAGGGTTGATGGGGTAGGGGTTACAGAAACACAGAAGGATTTTTAAGGAGTAACCCATGTGTTACTCATGGGTTAACCCATGAGTTACTAATTCACCTTCACTGCCTGGTTCTTTGTGTTGATAGGAGGGTTCTTCAGAGCCGCCTGCAGTGCAGCCATCATGTTCCCTGTGCCAGAGGGTTAAGGACCAGACACCAAGTATCTGGAAAGCAACAGAATCGGCTCTAGGCCAGCAAAACTTATAGATGGCTTGTACTTGACTGATAATACAATTACTAGACTAACTGAGGAAGAAGCAGCACCGATAAGCCGTGCAATTCCAGTGTTGGAGAATACTTCTTTGGCCTGAAGAATGAGGATCCAAGTAAAAGAAATTATTCTCTGACACTTCTGCAAGTTGTAGTCCTTGAAAACAGGGACAGCGACCCAGCAGCGGCCAGGCGGAAGGGCTCCTCCACGGGCCAGCCAGCCGGGGAAGCCGGCAGTGGCAGGGGGCACGCGGAGCTCTCCCTCCCTCCATCCCTCTCACC